GGAAGAAGAGGAACTGGAAGAGGAGCTGGAAGAAGAGGAACTGGAAGAGGAGCTGGAAGAAGAGCTGGAAGAGGAGCTGGAAGAAGAGCTAGAAGAGGAGCTGGAAGAAGAACTTGAAGAAGAGCTGGAAGAGGAGCTGGAGGAGCCCTTGCGTGTTCGCACGCCTGTGCGACGGCTGGAAGAACTGCTGGAGCTGGAGCTGGTGGAATTCTTCAGTCTCTGTCTCTACAAGAAGAGGAGGGTGCAGGTACAGGTCAGTTCTTAAACTTATGCTTCCCAGTTCTTTGATATTGTTTGAAATATCATTTGATGTGACGGTTGGGGAAACATCTTAAATAAAATCATGCACCATGTCAGTCTGCAGGATTTTCTTCAGTTTTGATACCACGGGTGTTTCGTTTTCTTCTGGCAGAGTGACCGTTTTAATGAGCTTTGATGCAGCCTTGGGTCCAACCTGTATTTCAACCTGTATTTTCTCAATGCCTTCATCTGAAACTATAAGAAATTTTGAAATTCTCAGATTCATTTAGGTTTGGCTAAGGAGCACTAGAGAATTATGACTTTGACTTAACAGATCATGAATGCTCGTTTCTCGTTCAGATAACGTACCAGGTTTCATAGAAATGGTTATGTTATGATCTCCAACAAGCTTATAAAGAGGGGAATTTCTCATGAAGCCAGCATTCTGGGAAGCTATCTTAACACAAGCCTTTAAACCAAGTCTTTCCATTGTGATACACAGTTTCCGGTCAATTCTGGCTGAGACACGAATGTCCATTGGCTGGTTCGTATCGGTGGCACCAGAAGACATAATTTCCGATGAACTTGACTAAAAATAAAAGAAAGAGTGAGACAGACATGAGTAGTCAGAAATGCATTACACCATATCATAAATGCACTGTATGAATTTAGCAAAAGCACAGCAGATTGGTGGCTTACCAAGTCACTGTCAGAAGATTTAGCAGATGTAAATTTCTCCTTGGATATCCGGGCTGCTAAAGCTTCAGGTACGATTGGAGTTTTCTTAGCAGCTGAAAGATTTTCCACGTTTCTTGCCACAGCTAAGGCTTCAGCACTGTTGATGAAAATGATTCATTAAAGGAGCCAGACTTACTGTTAACAGTTAGTATGTTTTTAGTGTATCAAAACAGTATTTTCCTCCTTTTCCACTCTTCCTACTTTTTCAAACTTGAGAATATTGCAAATACTTATGAGTGTTGTGTAACTAAAAAAAGAATCTGCTTACTCCAAATCCAAAACATTATCCAGATCTTGAATAGGCTGAGTCTCAATCTTGAAGTGTCCTTCAGCAATATTAATTCTTGCGTTGACTTTCATAGGAAGATTGTGGTGCACCTTGGCTTTCAGCACAACTGCAGCCTGAATAAAGGCTGTGTTTACTCCCATCACTGCAAATGTGTGCATTGCAACACTGCAAAAAAAAAAAAAAACAAATACTGCATTTAGTAGCTCTATGTTTCAATACAAGCCATTTTTAAAAGCTCATCTGTAGATTTACCTTGGCTCAATATGGGCTTGCAGCTGAATGTCAGTGTTCTTGAGCTGAGCAATATGGAAGTTCTCAGCAGGTGGAGGGTTCAGGGTGGCCTGAGCTGTGGGTACAGGCATGTGTGAATAAAAAAAAATAAAACTGCACAATACATAATATTTTATAGGAGAAGGCAGGTACTATATAAATTCTCTGTTGCCGAGTACGGAATACTGACCATTAATTTTGGCAACAGCCACTGCAGCAGTGTACAGACTCAGCTCCATGGGGACACCAACACAGGTGGGGAAGATGCGACGCACCTCAGTGGCCAGCAGGGATTTTGTCCACTGGATGGCAAGGCCAGACTGCAGTGCACTGAGCGCATTCCTCACAATTGCGTGCTGTGCTGCAGGTCCTGTGGCCAGCTTCAAAAGAACAAGAGAATGAGCGAGATTGAACATCCACACACTGCTAACATCATTGACTGATTTTCCTCAAATATCCATTTAAAAAAAACAACAAAATTACACATTTAGCAGTACCTGTACTGCTTGTTCAATGAGGTCCCTGTCAATGTTGGCAAAGGCAATCTCCTGACCGAAGAGTTTCAGGTACATGGTAGCCAACGGTTGATCTGTGGGTAATGCCTTCCAGTTTGTCAGCTTTATGGGAAACAGAATGACAATGAAGAGCTTATATCACATAAACATAAGAGCCAAAATATCCAAAATGATATTTTTCTATTAGTTTTCTCACAATAAAATGATGCACCCAAACGCATTGACTTACAGTACTGAGAACACGCTTTATCCTTGTGATTCTGTCAGCATTGGCAGGTACAGCTGGTGCTTTCAAAAGGGCCTCCTGAATTCCTTCTGTTCTTGCCCCAAGCTGTGAGAAAGAGTGGCTTAATCAACCTGATAGGAATCCTCACTTATCATATGAATTATACTCTTATCTTATGAAGACCACTTCGCACCTCCACGACATCAGCCACCGCCCCAACCATGTAGGCGCGGATTTTGGTCACAAGCGCTCTGGGCAAAATGGTGGCAGCATCATTCATGAGGAAAGCGCTAGCGGCAGCACCAGCCATCAGGTCATCTATCAAGACAATTCGACCCATAAGTTAGTAGAATGAAATATAAGTTAAGTTAAGTGGGGGTTGCATGACTATAGTTGATCCAGACACCTAACACCAGGACAAAACACTAGAAATGCTAAAATGGTCTTACTTTTGAAGAAGTCCACACGGATGGCTTTACTGAAACGATAGTTTAGTCTGTCCAGTTTGGGG